AGCCAATCAGAAACTGCAGACTAATCAGTGAAGTCATCAGCAAGGAAGAGATCGGCGATGAGGCTCAGGACCTGGACCGGGAGACCCCATAGCAAGCAGGAAGTCAACGGACATCACTTCCTGCTGATCAACAGCCCAGATCATCAGGCGGTGAACATATCACAGAGACCCCTTCACTGACCGTCAGCAGCAGAAGCAGTTTGAATTGAACTTCCTCTTTTTACTGAGCAGGAAATGCGCACGCACACACGCACAAATACACACACACACTCTCACACAGCGTTTGAGCTGTAAATATTTACCTGTCCTCACCGTGCCCGTCTGTATGCTCAGTGGGGGAGCTCATGATGTCACTCTGATGTCACGGCGTGCTCTGACCAGCGTGTGGGACCCACTGGATGTCTGAGTGTGGTGTCCTCCTTCCTCTCCTCTCCCTCGCACAGAGGGAGTTCCCACTCTGACTCTATGGGGCTCGCTCGCTCTCTCTCTCTCTGCCTGACAGGTTTGTCTGCATTTCACCACAGAGCCGCCACCTGATTGGCCACGCTCACCTGCTCCTTGCACACAGGTGAGGTGGCAGATCAGCTTCAGCCTGCTTCATTAAAAATCCACCAATCAGATGCTGAAGCTATTTAAAGCAGGAGGAAGTGCAGAGTGTCCGCAGGGTCCTAGTGCCTGTGAGAGCAGCTTAAATTCAGTTAAATGCTTTAAAAAGACTTTTATTTTGGAAGTCAGGAGGCATGAATGACATATATTTAGGAATCAACACAAGAAATCCAGAGATAAAGGAGAAAATTTTACAACCATAATTAGAAATAACATTTCCACTTCAAACACCCAAGTTAATAAATCGACTCACTACTAGGGATGGGTACCGGTGTTCTGACATAAACGGTAGTAACCAGACCGAAAAGCAGCGCACATTTCGGTGCTTTATTTCGGTGCTTTTTTTTCCTGAGCTGTGATACACTTCTAGCCAATCATTTTACGTTTCCCAGGATAGTAGGCGGGGCCAGGTACGTACGTTCAGTTAGAGCAGAGCTACACATTAAAAATGTCCAAGGCGAAGCTGTCAAAAGTCTGGTTGTACTTCACAGCAAAATATGCAAACTCAGCAGCAACAAGTGCTTTAAGCTGATACTGTGATACTGTCAAAGGAGGCAACACCTCGAATCCGATGAAACACCTGGCGACGCATAGCGTTTTTTTTAAAAGCCCAGAAATGCGCCGTATTTGATAGCTTGCTGCGAGACCTCACACTGTGCACGTTGGGTGGGTTGCCAGTTATCGGACCCGGAGCAACATCCCCCAAAAACCCGAAGAGGAGAGTCCTGGCCCCTAGCCCTGCCAGTGTAGCAGAAATGATGAGGATGATGATGCAGCAGCAGCCGTTCTTCTCTGCGTGAGTAGCTTAATGTTATTCGTGTGTAATTTACGTTGAGTAGGCTAACCACGTTATTACATTAATGCATGTAAGGTGAACTAGCAAACATCATCATAGCTACATGCGGCTGTCTTCTTGTTTGATGGCAGATACTCCCTTCACCCTGGACAAAAAGGCTAAAATGACCAAAGGAAAAGTGGAAAACAGCTAAACATGAGAGGTTTTTGGACAAAGTTTGTGTTTTTTCCATTGTTTAAGCACTGCTTCCAGCCAAGAGTGATGCCATATATGCCCCATAGCTGCAGAAAAGGCTAACATTGTTATCTTTTTACAAAAACAAAACAAAACAGCTGAACATGAGAGGTTTTTGGACAAAGTTTGTGTTCTCCATTCATTAAGCACCGGTTCGAGCACCGTTTAAGCACCGGCACCATTTCAAAAGTACCGATTTGGCACCGGTATCGGATAAAACCTAAACGATACCCATCCCTACTCACTACAATAAATACATCGAGTCCAACGGGTAGTGATGGCCCGCTTGAAGCTGACGCTCCGGAGCGTGTGTCGAAAAAAACAACACACTGGTTCAGAAGCACTGTGTCGAGGCTTGCTTCGTTTGGCAAAAGTCACGTGACCAGTGACGTCCGAAGCTTCATTACGCACGTAACTGCTTCGGTACCTGATTCAAACGGATATAAGGAAGTGAATCATCCACGGGATTCGTGGAGTGTGTTGATGGTGACAGATAGCGACGAGGTGATCATTCCACTGACAGATATGGAGCCAGCGAGGAAGAGAGGACATTCTGGCGTGTGGGGATATTTTGAGTTGATTTTGCTCAATTCATTTTATCTGCCGAAGTGAAAAACCTGAAATGTCCAAAATCATGTTTTCATAATGTAAATATCATTACAGCATATGACTTCAGGAACACTTCCATGTGAATTAAAGCTGATGAAGACTACAAAAATGTATTTGACACTATACGTACATTACATTGCTACAGTTTAGAAAATCATTTTGTTTATTGTTTTTAGGTGATAGTCTGCAGGACCCAGGAATACCTGCATATCTACCAGCTTGCAGTGTAGTTCCTGCACTCCACAGCCTCTTCTGTTCCATGCAAGTGGATTTTCTCCAGGGCAGGAGAAACTATTTCTAAGAAAAAGAAACAGACTCAGCCAGCGCACAGTAACACTAATCCTCTTTTTAAATGTAAATAACAAAAGGGCTACCTGACATTGATCATGTTTTTACTTTGCAAGTTCTTGATTAGGGGTGGGTTTTGATTATCGCCTTTCTGATTACAATCCATGCTAAATTGAATAAAGTGATATTGATTCATTAAAATCCCGTGTCGATTTGTAAATTAACGTTATTATGCCTGAAACGCCAGCATCTCAGGTTAAACCTCACAACATGTCGTCAAACACCATGCAGCTAAAACAGTAACTGGGAGCAGGTTTACGGATTCTGCATACAAACGTGAACACAGAGCGCGGACCCGACGCGTCAGAGTCAGATTTTGGTGTGTCGTTGGGTCCGCGCTGTGTTTGCCTCTTTTTTCTTCGCTGGCTTCTGCAGCTGCAGGTTTCATAACTCTCTGTTTACATCTCTAATTAAGTCTCACATGTGTCAGCTTTCTTTTAATAGATACGAAATTATGGATATATACTGTTAAATGATCAGAATTGTAATATTTCTGACTGAGGCAAAACTTTCCAGATTCCAATCAAATTGAATCGGATCCTGTATCGAATCAAAATGATTCTACAAATCAGTGACGATGCAGCCGTACTCAGCTTCCTAAGCATTTTCCCTTTCCAGTTCACAATCAATCCCACCCCTAGGTCAAAAATATGTATAGGACAATTGGCCTCATCTAATATTTTGTATGAACCTGTCCAGCTGTCCAGTGATTAAATGACAAGTAGATGGAGGCAGGACTTCACAGCAGGGGCATACTCCATAATGTGCTGTGCATTCTCATATGTATATTATATATATTGCTCACTTATTGTATTTACCAACATCAAGGAGTTATGAGCAGAGAAAGGCCACACCATAGTGCATGTTTAAATAGGGAAAGTTTATTGATCAAAATGTATTACGCAGATACGCATTACATTTTTTTCAGCCCCCCAATCGAGAAAACAAAACCAATTACATGTTCAAAGCAACGGAACGGTGGCCCAATATCGGAGAGGACTCCACTCTTGAGTGAGCAGTGATAATTGAGCAGTCCGTTTTATTTTGCAGATTCAAGCTGCTCTTCAAAATTTTCACCACCAGATGTCACCGGAGAGGACTGTGTTGAAAAGCTTCGAGTAATGAACCGTTTTTCAATACAAGCTTCAGTGCTTCGGAAAGCTTCATTTGGCCATCACTACCAACGGGGGAAGGTCAGAAGGAAGGCGAGTGTTTCAGAGGGGAAACCACAAGTCTGAGCAGATGTTCCAGATGTTTACAGAGTTGTACCCCAAACTTTATCCTGATGACTCATGATGAAACATTGTAAATAAAAAAACCAAAAACCTTTCTTCTGCAAACTTCCTGTTGCTGCAAGCTTCTTCCCTCTGTTTCACAATAAAAGTCTTTCCCTTCTCAGTGCAATTATTGTGAAACATGATTTATTCACAGCTGGTTTCCTGACAGTTGGCTGCAGTTCTTTTTCTCTTTAATAAAACACCCAAAACCAACAGCCTACGGAGGCCCAACAGTGCCAAATCTGTCAGAAATTCACATCTTCAGAAAACCCCCAAAAAAACAAACAGATTCAAACAAGCATGAAGGTCCGCTATGACGGCACACCTCAGCTGGATGCAACATGTGATCACAAGCTCAGGTACGAGCCAGTGTTGTGTCTGCACACGCTGTTAGCAGCAAAGTCTGTATATTTTTTTATATATTTTATTTTATTGTTTACTCCATTTAATTTGTAAAATATGCACACACACACACACACACACACACACGTAGAAAAACATATTTAGTATACGCATCCAGTAATGCATATACTATTATATATTGTACATATATTTATTAGTCTCAGATTTAGCCATTCTTATATTTTGCTTGTTGTACGTTATTGTATTTTTGCACACCTCTGTTGCTTGTGAAGCTCGCACGCAAGAATTTCACTCACATGTGCTGTACCAGTGTACCTGCACATGTGATGTGACAATAAAAGTGATTTGATTTGAGTCTGTGAGAAATGGCACAGATAACAGTCTGACATAAAACTTTAAGTTTGCACCAAAGAGGCGATTCCCAAAGAGCTGAAACGGCACAAGTGTGAGGCCTGAAAACTCTGCAGCAGACCAGAGAGACAATCAGCCGATCGTCTGCTGCTCAGCCTCACAGGAGGAAACGCTGATGAAGGTCAGAGGAACGGGACTGATAGAGCAATGGAGCCACATCATGGTCAGCGTGTGCGAGGAGCTCCAACACAGCGTCAGCAGCCCCCTGTGAGACGGAGGCTCCGTCACGGCTGCAGCTCAGTCTATGATGTTACAGATCTTTGATAAACGTTTGAATTCTGAACCATCACATGTGTTTTGTATGTTTTAATAAACATACTCATAGAGAATATAAAGAAATGAGGGTGGCTCATGACTTTTGCACAGTGTGCTTTCATCCACGCAGGACTGCAGAGAACTTTATTGTGTCAGACCAATCCAACAGCACCACCTGCTGGCTGGAGGCCTCAGTCACAGCTGCGCCCCTGCAGTTTTTTCTGAGCACGAGGCGTGCAGCAGGGGCGGACCTTCATGCCTGCTGTCGGCGGGTTTCCAGACTCGGATTCTTTTGATCATTTTGGATTTTATTAGAGAAACAGGAACACGGATTCATGCTCGTGTTCAACAACACCTGCTAAAAAAAAACAAAAAACAACAACAACAAAAAAAAAAACAACAACCCATAAAACGTTGGTGCTTCATCGCTGTCTTCCTCTGACAGGTCAGAGGTCAGTCCTGTTGACCATCTGGCTGAACTTCTCCTCCAGGGCTTGGGAGGTGATGCGAGGCAGACCGTTGTCCAGAGGGGAGCCCTCCACCAGGCTGTTCATCGGTGTGGGCGGGACCTGAGACAGCTCGTCCTTCCTGTCTCCCGGGAAACCATACCCATCCCACGTCGTCAGGAAGTCTTTCATGATGGGGAGGAGCTTCTTCCGAGACGCCAGTGAGTTTCCTGGAGACATAGGGTGATGAAGTCACCATCAGTCCTGAGGCCACCCCCCCCCAGAGACACACCCTACAGAGCATAGCTAACGAGGCAGCAGAACATCAAGCATCACCTGTGCACACCTGTCTGATTACAGGAGTGTTACCTTGATGATAGGCTGAGATGTGAGAGTGGGGGCTGCTGAGTGGACTCAGGTTGAGGGCGGGGCTTTGGGCTTGTTCCAGGTACTGGCTCACCTGAGGAGGGAGGACACCTGAGCCGTCACGCAGAAGGAACAGCAGACTAAAGAAGGGGGAGGAGAGTGTACCTGTTCCCTGCAGGTGGTGCTGTGGCTGAACACAGCAAGTTCTCTGATTGGCTCTTTGCTCTCAGTGAAGAAGATTGTCATCAGCAGCAGCAAATCATATCCGTACTTCTGACAGAAACCTGAAAGCTCCGCCTCCAAGTCCTCCCTCTGCAGGAACTCCTGACACATACACACACACCCATACTCAGCAGCATGTCTCGTCAGGTGTTCTGCAGCTCTGATGCCACCTGGTGGCAGACTGGTGTCACTGCAGCTTATTAGTATGACTGTAGTACAGTGTGCAGTACTGACCTGCAGTGAGATGTAGAGAACAGAAACGGAGAGATTCAAACTTCCTGAAACAGCTTTCATGTCCTTCAACAACATCTCCTCTGTGTTCAGACCTGCAAACAAAGTACTGCGTCAAATACTCCAATAAAAAAAAAAATTACACCAAGTACAGTAAAACTGCAATACTAAAACAATGCTCCATTGAATTCTTTAATAAAAACTATAAAGGAAAAAGTACAAATCTGCAGTGTATCCACACCTGAAGAGTAACAAACACAGGTGAGTCCAGACTTTGTTCCACCTGTGTTCTCAGTTATGACTGACTTCTCAGAAACTGACCTGAGACATCCAACTTGGCTCTGTGCAACTCCTGGAAGAGAGCGCCCCTCGGTGGCAGAGCAGGGAATAGGTTCTCCAGCGCTGCAGCATATTGACTGTCTTTGGGAGTGACTTTACCTGCAGCAGGTGACATGTCCACGCAGTCCACCACGATGGCAGCTGCAGACCAACACAGACAACCCACCAATCAGTCAACGGCACACTTCAGACACACAAGATTTACTCAATTCAGGTTTATTTATACAGGTAGACCCGACAATAATACATAAAGAGAAAACTCAACAGGCAAGCACTTTGGCAACAGTTGGAAGGAAAAACTCCCTTTTAACAGGAAGAAACCTCCAGCAGAAGGAAGCTCTGCCTCCCATTCTACTTTTAAATACTCTAGGAACAACAAGTAGGCCTGCAGAGCGAGAGCGAAGTGCTCTAATAGGGTGATATGGTACTACAAGGTCATTAAGATAAGATGGGGCCTGATTATTTAAGACTAGGGATGGGTATCGTTTAGGTTTTATCCGATACCGGTGCCAAATCGGTACTTTTGAAACGGTGCCGGTGCTTAAACGGTGCTCGAACCGGTGCTTAAAGAATGGAGAACACAAACTTTGTCCAAAAACCTCCCATGTTCAGCTGTTTCCCACTTTTTCTTTGGTCATTTTAGCCTTTTTGTCCAGGGTGAAGGGAGCATCTGCCATCAAACAAGAAGACAGCCGCATGTATCTATGATGATGTTTGCTAGTTCACCTTACATGCATTAATGTAATAACGTGGTTAGCCTACTCAACGTAAATTACACACCAACAACATTAAGCTACTCAGGCAGAGAAGAACGGCTGCTGCTGCATCATCATCCTCATCATTTCTGCTACACTGGCAGGGCTAGGGGCCAGGACTCTCCTCTTCGGGTTTTTGGGGGATGTTGCTCCGGGTCCGATAACTGGCAACCCACCCAACGTGCACAGTGTGAGGTCTCGCAGCAAGCTATCAAATACGGCGCATTTCTCGGCTTTTAAAAAAACGCTATGCGTCGCCAGGTGTTTCATCAGTTTCGAGGTGTGACCTCCTTTGACAGTATCACAGTATCAGCTTAAAGCACTTGTTGCTGCTGAGTTTGCATATTTTGCTGTGAAGTACAACCAGACTTTTGACCGCTTCGCCTTGGACATTTTTAATGTGTAGCTCTGCTCTAACTGAACGTACGTACCTGGCCCCGCCTACTATCCTGGGAAACGTAAAATGATTGGCTAGAAGTGTATCACAGCTCAGGAAAAAAAAGCACCGAAATAAAGCACCGAAATGTGCGCTGCTTTTCGGTCTGGTTACTACCGTTTATGTCAGAACCGGTGCCATCATGGTACCGGACACCGGTACCCATCCCTATTGTATGTGAGCAGCAGGATTTTGAATTCTGGACTTAACAGGAAGCCAAAACAGGAGAAATCTGCTCTCTCTTTCTAGTCCCTGTCAGGACTCTTGCTGCAGCATTTTGGATCAGCTGAAGGCTTTTCAGGGAGTTTTTTGGACTTCCTGATAATAATGAATTACAGTCGTCCAGCCTGGAAGTAATAAATGCATGAACTAGTTTTTCAGCGTCACTCTGAGACAGGATGTTTCTAACTTTAGAGATGTTGCACAAATGGAAGAAAGCAGTCTTACATATTTGTTTAATATGTGCGTTGAAGGACATGTCCTGGTCAAAAATGACTCCAAGGTTCCTCACAGCGTTACTGGAGGCCAAGGTAATGCCATCCAGAGTAAGAATCTGCTTAGATACCATATTTCTAAGCTTTTCAGGGCCGAGTACAATAACCTCAGTTTGATCTGAATTAAGAAGCAGAAAGTTAGCGGCCATCCAGGTCTTTATGTCTTTAAGACATTCCTGCAGTTTAACTAATTGGTGTGTGTTATCTGGCTTCATGGACAGATAGAGCTGGGTGTCATCAGCATAGCAGTGTAAATGTATGCTATGTCTTCTAATGATGCTGCCTAAGGGAAGCATGTATAATGTAAACAGAATTGGTCCTAGCACTGAACCCTGTGGAACTCCATAATTAACCTCAGTGTGTGAAGAGGACTCTCCATTTACATGCACAAACTGGAGTCTATTAGATAGATATGATACAAACCACTGCAGTGCAGTACCTGTAATACCTACAGTAGGGCTGCCACAAACGATTATTTTGATAGTCGACTAATCAGATCATCATCCATTGGCCGTAAAACTACAGCTTATTGCACCAGGAGCATCTGCTCTTATATAACTATCATTAGCTTACAGCTTTAAGTGTTTAAGGTATGTGCTAACTAAAAATAAAGACAAGATGATAGTTTATTAAATTTTAATGAAATTTGCAGATTGTTTCAGTGAAGTTTAATAAACTCCTTGCTATCTAAATAAAAATACTAATACTAATAAATAAAATACTAAAAAAGCCAAACAATAACATTTTTAAGTTATCTAAGTGACTTATATATATTTAACCTGAGTAGCGAAAGACAGTGGTGGGTTTGAAAACGATTTGCCGGGAGTCCGGTGTTCTCACGGCGCTAGTGAGCCTAGCCCCCGGCTAGCTATCGAGCTAGTGGGTAACAGACGTCTCTGAAAACGTCGGAGCGCTTTTGAAAATATGTGGTGTCCTGATAAACTGAGCAGATATTTGAGGTTTACACAGCTACATTCTCCATGAAAATATGTTAAACGTTTATTTTGTGACCCAGAAAGAATAATAAGAGTAATATTAAAACTAACTAGCTGCCGCCATTGTTGACAACTGCGCTGGGCCGCGCTATGAATTCTGGGACACAGCTTCTTCTTCTTCGGGGTTTAACGGCAGCTGGCATCCTTGTACATGCAGTGCTGCCATCTTCTGTTTCAGTCCGTTATTACACTCTTAAATCCTGCTACTTATTCCTGCGTCTTTTGTGATCTTACAAAGCTTCCAACGACGCATCGACTAATAAATCAGTCGTCGATGATTTCGATAGTCGACGTAATCGTGACTAGTCGACTAATCGTGGCAGCCCTAACCTACAGCATGTTCTAATCGCTCTAATAGGATATTATGGTCGACAGTATCGAACGCTGCACTGAGGTCTAGCAGGACAAGCACAGAGATGAGTCCACTGTCAGAGGCCATAAGAAGATCATTTGTAACCTTCACTAAAGCTGTTTCTGTGCTGTGATGAGCTCTGAAACCTGACTGAAACTCTTCAAATAAACCATTCATGTATTCGATAACCTTTGAACGCTCAGTAACACCAGGTGTGTACCGTAAAGCAGGTGAGCAAGCTGCAGGTCCAGGATCTCTGGAGCTCTTTGAATGATGCGCTCTGTCACCAAGGTAGCGCAGGATCCCACTGTTTCCGCAGTAACAGGACAGGTGGGGGAGGGTTCCCTCTCTAGATGGTGGTGGTCGATCACCTCTGCAACCGCCTCCTCTAGGTCGCTGTCTGAACTGCAGCAGAGACAGGATGTTAAGACAGGTGTGATCACCACTCAGGTGTGCAAGGTCATCTGTGAGGTGTTACCTGGGCAGCACGTTGTGGTCGACCAACGTGAGCCGCAGGCGGCCGGCCCGCTGCAGTGCTCGCAGGTCCAGCTGGTCCCTGAAGACGAGGAGGTCCAGAGACAGAGCGGCTTGGCGCAGCAGGAAGACGCTGTCCGAGCGAAGCCGCAGCTCCGATTGACGGATGTTCAGCAGCGGCAGAACGAGCATCTCGCCGGGTGCAGTCTGACAGGGAGAGAGAGACTTCAGGTAACCAAAGTGGGTTAAAACGTCTTGATGCATCTCAATCATTCAGGTAAGTAAATCTCCAAAAGTTGATTCTGTTCATCTGGACGTAGCGTTTTGTGGGAGAAACGTTTCGTCACTCATCCAGGTGACGTCTTCAGTCTCAGCTGACTGCAGGTTTCAATCTTATAAACAGGACATTTACATAATGACTGAAACAGCCCACTGAGGGAACAATGGGCTGGGAGGTCAGTTCCTTAATCTTAATTATGCAAATTCTCATGACCATTGATCAAAGACCATGAGTACCATTCACATAGAGTTGGGGAATGGCTGCAATCACAGCATGTAAGATGGCAAAAGATGTACCCTTAGGCCCCTCCTCCATTCAGAGATGGTCTTTGAGAATGGCCAATGGTCATGAGAATTTGCATAATTAAGATTAAGGAACTGACCTCCCAGCCCATTGTTCCCTCAGTGGGCTGTTTCAGTCATTATGTAAATGTCCTGTTTATAAGATTGAAACCTGCAGTCAGCTGAGACTGAAGACGTCACCTGGATGGGTGACGAAACGTTTCTCCCACAAAAAGCTACGTCCAGATGAACAGAATCAACTTTTGGAGATTCGGGTAACCAGTTCATTACCTGTACTGGCAGCTGATTGGACTGTGGCTTACCTTAGACAGGAAGTAGGCATAGGCCAGGGCAGATACCATGGAGTCAATGTCGCAAGCTTCATTTCCCAGGACAACATGGAACCCAGGGCCGACCTGGTCCGAGCTCAACTGGGGAACAAAGAACAGAGCTCCTAACATACTGATACAACCCGGCACCACCTGATAAAACCCGGCACCACCAGAATCCCCTGGAAGCATCTGGTATAACCTGAAACCACCAAAAATCCTTTGAAACCACCTGGGACTACTATCCCTAAATGCAGATATATTTAACGTCCACAGTCTCGTAACGTCTGCTCTGAGACTGCAGGTCATCTGTGCTTGGGTTAATGCTGGATTTAACATGGAGAGGCTTCTTGTTTCTGCTGTAGTAAAAACATTTACTGTTAAACTGCAGTAATGTGTTGAAATGCCCCGCCCCTCCCCGTGCCTGGGTCTGCTGTAGGTTTCTTCCTGTTAAAGGGGCGTTTTTCCTCTCCACTGTCGCCAAACCGCTTGCTCAGAGGGTCACATGATTGTTGGGGTTTTCTCCATTTTCTTTGTATTATTGTAGCGTCTAGCTTACAGTACATCAGTGTATTAATAAAACTGCATTCAATTTGGACAGAACAGGCGAGTTATAGAAACATGCCCCTCCTTACTGCTGCCTCTGCTGGACACCAGAAGAACTGCAGCAGTGGTGATCCTGACAGGTGTGTCTCACCTGACCTCACGGCTGACTGTCTCACTCACACCCACAGCTGCGTTTCCGGTCGTTGACGTGTGCAGCTCCACAGACTCGTGCAAACTATCGTAGTGCTCGGACCTTGTCACATGATGTAAACAGTGCCAGTCATTCTGCAGCAGCGCGAGCTAACAGGCTAACCCGCGTGTGTGTGTGTGTGTGTGTGTGTGTGTTACCTTCACGGCCCGCTGGCAGCTCGTCAGAAACTCCTCCATCTGCTCCGTTAGCTGTTAGCTGCTAACAAACGGTCAGCTGTCTGTGACTCGCTTTCACCTGATAAATGTACGCGAGACAGAAACGTGCGGTGGGCGTGGCTTGTCAGGACCCGTGTACGGATCGCCTTTGAACCAAAACACTAAAACTTCGCGTCCCGTTTGCAGGGACCACGTGACCAGTTTCTTACTGATGATTACGTGCGTTTTTTTTTTTACTTTTGCCTTGTAATAGGCCTTTTTCTAGGTGTGACCAAAAAGCAGGTAAACCTGTGTCAGTAACCATGGTAACAGTCTCAGTGACCCTCACTTGCAGCAGGTGTTTGTGACGTATTTGATGTATGAAGCTAGAATTTCACAGTAATCGTGATGAAGGTTCAAACTGTGGAGGCGTGGGGCAGAGCGTGCGCTGAAGCTCGTTGGTCCCTGTGCTGGGAAATCTACGGCCCGCGGCCCTGAAGCGGGCCTGTATTTCCACCTACAGTGATGAAACCAATGCATCATCGGCTGCCGTCCTTCATCTGTGTCTTTATCGCAGCATGACGGTTCAGACAGGAAGTGAAAGAGTGAACCCGAAATGCGAGGTCTCCACAGAAACGTGTTAGAAACCCAGATTATTTCAAACCTGTATGACGTCCACTTTATTCTGTCTTCTAATTATTCTGCTTCCTGTTTCTTCCACCACTCCATGCCTCCAGTAATGATGACGCACTCTCCTGCTGGAGCCTCAGCCGGCTGCCACTCTGATGTGCAGAGCGGGCGCTTGGTGGTTCCTGCGAGGCACCGTCACAGAGGTGTCTGCTGTTTGTGGTTCTGCATTGTCCTACAGACGCTTCATGAAACAAACGTCCCCATAAAAGTCATCGATTGTGTTATTTAGGTAAACAGCTGTGACAATCCAGTCATGTGTTCTTGTTTATCTATTTGTTTGTTTAGTTGTTGGTTTTTCATGGTCACTAAATGTTTATTAACAAAACTAAAACTAAAACAAAAACACGAGACAACCGGAAACAAACTTCCTGTTTGAAACAGGCAGCTCTGCAGACACCTACGGCAGCCTCACGCACGCGCATGACCCTTCTGTAAACATGGGCGCGTGACGGTCGGAATGTCGAAAGGTTATGAGCCCTTCAATGACCTGATTAAAGCTGGGAAATATCATCTCGTGCTGCCTCAGGCTGCTGTGTTTGTATCCTGACAGGACAAACGACTCAAAGACGCGGTGAAACGGCGCCAGCATCCCGGAAACAGCCGGACTCACGTTTCATTTTTCTCACTGCAGCCTTCAAAGCCGGGCTGTCAAACTTAACTGTGAGCCACTGCTGCACAGCAAAAGCGTTAAATATGTTGGTGTTAGTGCTTTAATATGACTCACAGTAGAGTCACGGTCTTTAAATGTAAGCCTGAGGTGTAAAATAATACTGTTAAAATCGAGTGTTTCCATATCAAATCTGGAGGCGATGCAATGGAAACGTGAACTGACCTCTGAACTCCTAAACGGACTATGACACTAATAAAATTAATTCAGACTCCGCCCCTCATTTTTAAAAAAATATTACTGTTGTTGTCGTTTGGCGCTATATAAATAAAACTGAATAGCTTTTTTGAGTTGAGACAAAGCGGCGTGAAAGGCATTAGCCTCGCTGCTCAGTGAAATCTGTTGTTTGCAGCCAAACACTATAGCCTTGGAAAACAGCTTGTATATGAATATTCAGTCAGGTTTTGGCTCAATTACACCTAAAACAATGTTTAGATTGTTGACATAATGATGCTACGTGAAGCCTGAAAACCACCAAACCGACGTAGCAAACAGCAGAAGCGCTGACTGTGGGTCGACATCCCTGCAGAGTTTTGTGCACACGGTTTAGGTCAAAATGAAACAGACTGTTTTATATGTAGTTCAGCATTAACTGTTGTCTGTGTTCTTCGGTTGTTTGAGAGAGCACCATGTTAACAAACCTGTTCTGATATTGGCTTTAAATATGGGCAATGGATTCGTATCTGGAACTGTCTTTTGGGAAAATACAAACCACGTGTTACTCAGAAATTATTCTTTTTTTTTTTGTACTGTGCTGCAATTAATTAGTACACAATTAACTTTTATTGACTCTGCACACAGGATATGCTTGGGAAGGTGGGATATGGGGGGAGTTGGAGCTCCACAAAGTGATGAAGGGAGGACGTTCATATTGTACTGAAGAAAAGAGTAATGAGCGTGCTGTTTGCACTGCCAGCTCACATATGTCCCTTTGATAAACAATATTCTAATGAAAGTCAGAGCATGTACACTGGTGCACAGTTCAAAACAAAGGTTATTCAGAAAAACATGGCCTCTTTTTAATAAACGTTTGTTTCCAAAGGAATTTGTAAAATTTCAGAAGTTTTACAATGAATTGGAAGATAACTCCGATGTAGTTAAAATAAAACACTCTGTGAGAGTTAATATATAAACTCTTAACACCTAGTTAGCATTAACAAGTGTTAAATGATCAACTCCAGACAGATTTGGTTTTAAATCAGAGTTAACGTACTGGCTCTCCACAAACATTAAACTCTGTGGTGTGGATCCACGTAGACACTTTAATTGTGTTGAAATTGTTGTGGAGTTTTCTGTCAAAAAAAAAAAGTGGCCTGCAACATGGTCACTGTGATCAAGCTGTTTTATTTCTGCATGCAGGCAGGAGAGCCAACACACATCAAACATCACAGTTCAGTCATGCGAGCTCTGAGACAGGAGTGGTGCTCCCACTCCAAGGAAGAGGGAGGAAGTTACAAACATCACGCTATGAAAGGGAACCGTGGGCGCGCTGTTTTGTGCCTTTGGCGTTATCAGCACCAGTAAAGGGAGTTGTCTTCTCCAACTGCTGAGGCTGAAATAGGTTCATGTAGTTTTAGAAACTTTCACTGAACAGTCTATTACAGCGTCACAGCTCAGCACATAAATACTCTAAATGAGAACAATAGAAATTTTCTATTACAAAATCAAATCTGACCGCGTTAATCTGGGCATGCTGTGTGCCGTCTCATTGGAGGGCCACTTTAGTGTTCAAGTAGTGCAAAACAAACAAACAATCGCCAACAAATATTTCCTAAAACGTTTTGTTTGTTCTTTAAAATTTGAAATATTTTATAACAAGACAAATGCTTGTTCTGCCCTCTTAACTAACTGAAGCCTTTCATTGATCTACCAAATAAACACACTGGTCCTGTCTGTCTGTGCACACATGTGGCAGCACTGTGTTCGTATTTAATGCATAAGTGTGCACATGAGTGTTTGACTCTGTCACTGAGCAAACACAGACGATCCCTCAGCATGTTTGTAAGTACGGGTGACGTGAGCCGCACATGGCCCCCGGGCCCCGAGTTTGAGACCCCTCAGCAGGTCACAGCTGAGAGAATATATCCAGCATCACAGAAAAATGTGTTTTCATCATGAAACAAAATAAAAATGTCCTCTGCCAATCAACATCCCAAACACCTTTGAATTGGCGCAGATTCTCAGTGTTCACCGAGTCTGTGCATTTGTCACAAACAAGGCTCATCACTGTTCATTACACACCAACAAACAGCTGCTGTCACTGAGCTCACTGACAGATGTTCTTTGCTGTCGAGAAACGAATATCGTCTGCTTTCATTTAAACGGAGATACTAGGCTTTACCACTAGGTGGCAGTAAAGGCGTTAGTAGATCATTCAATTCAATTCAGTCGATTGTTCCTTCTCTCCTTTAAATGTGTTTTTAATGTCCACACAGCCATTTCTGCAAGAGTGAACTGATGTTCGAGCTCAGTCTGAGTGAATCAGCACCTTTAGTTTGCAGCGGTGTTGCTGCAGCAGGAGCATAATATTAAAGAAACGTCCCCGACTCAGTCTGACAGCAGATGCTTGACATCAGGTGAACCCTGATTTCTTTTAAGGAGGGGATGGTGGTTATTAGTAATCCATGCTTACACTGTGATGGATTATGAAGAAGAGGGATAACTCTATGTGTGAAGAAGTTCATGAACATTAAAGGGATGGTTGGCTCAACAGAGCTCTGACTGTTTGTCAGCCTGGCTACAGAGCTGAAGAGAAACCTGGGGTTGTTCTTATTTTCTTCAATCAGTGATGGATAGTAAGATGTTCTGGCTTTGCGGAGGGCTTTCTTATAAAGCAGCAAACTATTTCTTCAGGCTAAATGATGATCCTCTAAATTTGTGACACGCCATCTCCTCTCCAGATTACGAGTCATCTGCTTTAGGCTACGTGTTTGAGAATTATACCACGGAGTCAGGTACTTCTGATTAGAGACCTTAGTTTTCACAGGAGCTACAGTATCCAGAGTCGTACGTAGTGAGGAGGTGAAATTATTAACAAGATGATCGACCTCTGTTGGGGTAGCGTTCAGATAGCTGCTCTGCTCTGTGTTGGTACAGGACATTGAAGATGATAACAGTGGGTGGATTATATTCTTAAAGTAAAACTGAGATGAGATGTTCGGTTTCTATGTCAGAGTGTGATCAAAAACACTGCAGCAGGTTAATCAGAATGAGCACAGGGTAATCTTCGAAAACACATTTGTACAATGAACACTGCTTCAGTTGCAAAACCAATTTTAAAAGTGTGTTTACCTCCACTCTGACATGACAGGAAGACAAAGCTGTGCAATTTGTGATTCACATAAATACCTGAAATGTTGCATTGAACCACTTTATGGTCGCATTTAAAATTTAACAAAGTCATTTTTAATAAACATGCAAAACAGTAGCATTAACCTGCACAAGCTGCAAGATTTATTAATTTATTACAACTCACCCTACTGTGTGACGTTCCAGTCTCAGAGTTATTCTGACATTTATCACTACAGTTTTTCCTTTTGGTGTAAAACAACAGAGACACTATGGGACGGATGAGCCAATCTTTTCCAACTGTACCTAAAACCAGCACAACCCACTTGGTCAAAAGGACTCTGGGTAATGTAGTGTCCTGCTGTTTTTGTGCAATTTTAAAAAAAACAATACACAGATAATTTTTAAAAAATGAATTAAAGTTTACGTTAAGGAAAAAATCCAAATTATAAAAATCAGAAAAAGAAAAAAGTTAAAATGAAAGAAAACAGGTGTACCAGG